AGCGTTGTAAGTCCGCAGACATACCGCTGTGCCACTGAGGGGCACATGATAAAAGTAAAACGTTTTATACTGGAAATAAAAAAATATATATATTTATATTTTAATTTTATGAAAAATTAAATCAGGGTAAAGATTCCAATGTTTGCAAATAGTCTTAATTATGATATTGATATTTTTTTCATTAAATTATATTAGATATGCTAAAAATGTCAGCTACCGTTTATCCAGGAAAAATATGTATTATACTTGAAGTTGTTCAATTTTCCACTAATAAACACCAGTAACCGTGTGTGTGTGCTCACAGCAATAAAAGGCTTCATCTAACTGTATTAACTGTTTATTCAATGTTTATATCAAATTTAAGTAACGAGATCTCGTTCAATCTTAGGAACTGTTGAAATCATTTTGTAATATCGAGATGTCCTTGAGAAAGCTCGTGCACTCTACATTTAAACGTTTTGCTTGTTTACAAATGATCAAACGAATATAAATTCCAAGTATTTTAACAATACGTACAGTACATTACTTCCTGCAGTACATTATATACACACCAATATTTCACCTCTTCTAAGAACTGCATACGCCATGGTTAAAACTCATCCAAGTAAAAGTGTTTCATTTATGTCAGTGAAACCTTGAACTATGTCTGATATTTGACTTTATATTACAGGGAAGAAATTTTATTTCATTGACGAAAGATATGTTTGTTGGTTTTGAATTTCGTCCGGACCACTTAAAACCTTTTCCCCTAAACACAATCTTGTAAGAATAATGGGAGCTAATCAACAATCTAATTAACGAAGTGTATTTGAAAACACAGTAGTTAATTCGAGAAACTTTCAAAGTAGAGTATGACCCCTCCTCCCCAACAGTGGCTCATCGGTAAGTCTGATGGCTTATTGCTTTAAAAATCAGGTTTCGACACCTATGATGGGCAGAGCACAGATAGCCCATTGTGTAGTTTTGTGCTTAAAAGCAACAAAACATGATATTGCAGTAAGCAGCACATGATACTTACTTGGATTACCTCAGAAATTTGCACGTCGTCTGTTTGTATGACAAACCAATAAATGCTTTCCAGAAGTATTCCTTATGATGTACCTTTTAATATGATTAAATTTTCTGTTTCCTATCAGTAGAATGCTGAAAGGTCATATTTCAACTTCTTAGTTGTGAACATATAATTGAAAACATTCCTTTAATCAATCATTTTATTCAGTGTACTGTTGGAGCGGTTATTTGTGATTATTTGGTAAAAACAAATCATACACAGTCCAGTCCATTTTATTTATTGAACTTGAAGTTAAACAAATCCTCCTTCAATGATACTAACAGGCTCGAGTTCACAGTAGGCAGTAAAACACAATAATTTCATTTAGTTTCTAGTTTTCCCGTTTCTCCAGTCTTTACTGAAACGCAAACTCAATACTCGGAGACTGGCTTAACTCACTTTACGTCTGACAGTAACAGACGAACTGACTTAAAAAATCGCTAACTCAATAATCAGCCCAAATATACTATAGCCTAACTCGCATTGTCTGATCAAATTGTTTCCTAAACTTCCTTGAAAGTTCTAATTATTAATCCACCAACAACAATATAAACGTCATAATTAGGAAAACGAAACAACAGCATAAACAAAAACAGCTTACAGGCTACAGCATCCAATAGTCAACATGTGTATGACTTATTCATGGATAGGTCTTTTGAAGTTGGCATTTATCCAGATATTGTTTTTTCTATATGTGATATTTACCACGCTATTCAATTCTTAATGGTTTGCTACTTCGTTACGACTGTACGGCAAGCAGCATGAATATCTTTCCATTTTAAGCCTATTACATCATCTTCGTGGATACACTGTTGCCATTCTTCGTCAGGTTTTGACTTTCTATTAACATTGTTCTCCTCCAGTGAGTCTGTGGTAAGTTTACGAACTTACAACGATAAAATCTGTAGTTCGATTCCCCGCGGTGGACATAGCACATATACCCTGTTGTGTAGGATTGCGCTAAAACAACTACGATATGAAAATTGACGCAATATTTTCATTGACGTATGTTGATTTGTAAATTGCTTAGTTGCCAAAAATTATAAATTAAAAGAACACTTTTGGATAGAAATATATTTGCTCCAGTGGATCAGTTTGTTCATGATATTAGTTATTATTTAAAATGAAATCAGCCTTTCAAGTTTGTCGTGTTACACCATTCTTAGACTCACGTCTTACTCAAGAAATTAGTTTTAGAAGTCGTCGCTATTTTAATCCAATAATGTTTGAAACTTGCATATAGTGATTCCGATGTTTAAAAACTTAAGCATATATAAACAGAACATTTTGGATATTCTAGTACATTCAATTTCAAAATCGTGGCAAAAATTTAGGTTGTTTAAAGAAACCAGGGTTTTCAAATATATTGTGATCTCTCTTCGCCCCGCACGTGGTAACAGTTTGTTGATGTTTGTTTGTAATTAAGCACAAATCTACACAATGGGCTATCTGTGCTCTGCCCACCACGGGTATCGAAACCCGGATTCTAGCGTTGTAAGTCCGCAGACATACCGCTGTGCCACTGTGGGGCCAGTTTGTTGAAAAAGCTTCGTGAGAGAAAAAAAAAACGTGAATATTCAAGTTATATCGTGGGATGGTGTGTAATCTTCTCGAGCATTCAGGAAAAGCCGCGAACAGAGAGATCCAGATAACATCAATTTTCAAAATAAAAGGCTCCTGTGGGGCAGAAGGTCCTTCAGGGCGGCATGGATCTGTGGATTCAATGCCTTGGGTAGGATCGATAAATCCAAGCCGAATTAGTATGCAAGGAAAACAAAGACGATGGTTAAAAAGCATGAATTTAAAGTGCCTAATTAATTTCTAAGATAGTTGCGTTCGGATCGCTGAAGACTGGGGACGCAGACGTCTCTGTAATCATAGGCAGGTTGCGAGAAAAATATTGAGTCGGATAGATAGAAGTCGTCCGGTATTGTAGGATCGTAGAGTATAGGCATATAGGATCGGAGTCTCTGAGAGATGTTTGTCGGATGTTGTTCGTCGTTGGTGGGCTTTGATGGCGGTAAGGTTTGTGTGGCTTTTCTCCTTGATTGGTGTTTGGCTTGTGTAGACTGGGTGGCTGATGTGGTTTGTTTGTTATGGATTTCGCGCAAAGCTACACGAGGGCTATCTGCGCTGGCCGTCCCTAATTTAGCGGTGTAAGA